GCCTGACAGAAGCCATGATATTTCCAATCGCCTCATGTACATGTGAGATCTGGACAATGAATAAGGAAGACTGAAGAAGAGTTGATGCTTTTGAGTTGTGGTGCTGGCAAAGAATGCTGAAAGTACCATGGACTGTTAAAAAGAACTAACAGATCTGTCCTGGAGGAAGTGCACCCGAAATGCTCCTTGGAAGCGAGAATGGCCAGACTTCGTCTCACCTATTTTGGTTGCGTTTTTAGAAGGGACCATTCCCTGGAGAAGGATGTCATTCTTGGTAGGGTGGAGGGTAGACGAAAGAGGGGGAGGCCTTCAACGAGATGGATTGACATGGTGGCTGCAATGATGGGCTCAAGTATAGCAGGGATCATGGAACTGCTGCGGGATCAGGCAGTGTTTCGTTCTGCCGTGCATGGGGTCTCTATGAGTCGGAAACGACTCGAGGGCACCTAACAAAAATAACATGCAAGACTATCTTCCTGTAAGACCATAAAGCCTTGAAGAGCGACAACTATGTCTAGTGCCTTATCTTCATAGTTCTTCACTACTTTACTGGAATGTGTTATTGTTGTTCTTGTTAGTTGCCATGAAATCAATTCCAACTTATGACAACCCCATGGGACCCCATGCATGCAGAGTAGAACTGCTCTGTAGAGTTTCCATTGATGTGACCTTTCAGAAGCAGATCATCAGGCCTGTTTTCTGAGCCACCTCTGGGTGGATTAGAACCATCTGCCTTTGGGTATTTGTGCAACCCAATGACTCTACTACTTGTATATAAGGAGAATTTGATCAACATTTAATGACATTATTAATAGCCTTTGTTAGTGAGTAAGCAATAGGGGTTGTGATCACTGTTCATGGGAAGAACCCTGCCATGGGGAAGGAAAACAGTGTAGTGAAAATATTCTGGGTGTCCCTTAAGGTGATTTACATGACAGTGTAGAAGTCTCATTAAGAAGGTGATTCTCTACTTTGAGTAGTAACCTAGAAAAACAGTCAACAACTACATTGATTAGCATCCTTTCTAATTGAACTAAGTCCCTGGGTGGTGCAAATGGTTAAAGTACTTGACTACTAACCAGAAAGTTGAAGATTTGAGTCCACCCAAAGGTACTGTAGAATAAAGGCCTGGCAATCCATTTCTGAAGAATTGGCCATTGAAAACACTGTGGAGCACAGTTCTACTCTGGCACACGTAGGGTTGCCATGAGTCAGAATTGACTAGCCAGCAACTGTTTGTCTTCTTAAGTTAAATTTAAAGAAGTATGATTTAAAAAGTAAGGTGCTCTGATGGCACAGTGCCTAAGGCATTTGACTGCTAACCAGAAATTTGGTGGTTTAAATCCACTAGCCACTCCATGGAAGGAAGACAAGGCAATCTACATCTGTAAAGATTTATCACTTTGGAAACCTAATGGGGGTCACTATGAGTCGGAATTGACTCGTTGGAAGTAGGTTTGGATTGGTTTCGAAAGGAAGAAGGACCTTGACATCCTTTTTTAACACCCCTCCTATGTAGCCAACAAAACCACTTCAAGCTTAATACTTCCCTACCTGCTGTGTTTCCCTCAAGCCTTTTATTTTCCAGTAACAGCTGAAGTCCTAAAAAATGTGAATACCCTGAGAAATGTGACAGATTATTGTGATATCTAATATTCCCATATTGAAGGCGTTGAGCTAACTGGAAAGTATTGGGGAAAAACACAGCACAGATCCATTTCAGAGGGAGCCCTCACATAGCAGATTCTGAGGATTTCAAAGAAAGTGGTCACATATTAATTTGTTATCTGCCTGTGAAAAACTGTGGCATTATAGAAATATATTTTGTGCATAGCAAGGCTGGGGAGACTCACCCTGTCTCAATAAGAACTAAACGTAAGATATATTGTTGGCAGAAAGCTTTCGATCAGATCAATCCCAAGTTTTCTATAAATCATTTTTATTCATGTAGTCTTTTCTCTCTATGGTCAGGAACAGTTAAAATCTGGGACTTTGGCAGTGGGCAAGAGCTGAAAGTGTTGCCTGAAGGAAAAGACTGGAAAGAAGAAGAGCACTGGCTACAAGAAATGGTTTTCCTAAAATCTCAGGAAAAACACCAGTACTTGATCCTTGCCTTGGAGCGCAATGGGAAGATCAAAATGATCCAGGTTTACAATCTTATTTTTTAATTTGTACTCTAGTTGCTCTTAGGTAAATCAAATGAAACTGTGGATAGGCTGCATTTAATGCCTCTCTTGCCTGCCAGCTAAGAGTATTTATCCATCCATTTTCCTGTGATGCTCCTAATTAACCTTGCCATATCCAAGCAAGAATGAAAAGGAACAGCTGCCCAACTGTGGCCTCTTGCCATCAAACAGTTTACTGAAACCAACCACCAGAGTGGTTCAATTTACATATAGTTGCCACTTCTTACACTACTGATACCCTCAGGGACAGAACTGGGGACAATATTTCCTCTCTGTCCCTTATAAGCCATAATGTCTTCAGGAATGCTCAAGTCACTTTTTCAGTTTGTAGCTACTTTAAATTAATCATGCAGTCTGCTCAGGGATGTTCTGGGAGTATTGAGTTTGGCTAATTTAATTCTGCTTGAATCTATTACTTCCTAGAAATGCTAATATCTTCTTTACACTTATAATGAATGTTAGATCATTTATCATGCTATTCAGTGGATCTCTCCCTGTTGCCTAGAACACAAGGACTCATTGCCTTCAATATTTCCTTCCTGAAAGCTAAGATCAGAGGAAGTTCTTGAATAGGGTAGCAAAAGTGACATACCCACAGTGATTAAAAGGATTGATGGGTCTAGAGCTAGAAAAAAGGAGTGGTTAGATATGCTCTTCCCTTGTTGTCTGAGCAAACTAGAATGATGCTGTCAGAAGGAATTTTTTTGGAAATCCACTCTAAAACACAACATGCCTTTTTTTTTCCCCCTCTTTGAGTTTGTGTAATTGATCATCAGGATGTCCTTTCTAACACACAATACCTGTTTTGTAAACCCTCCCCTTTTAAGGACTACAAAAGTAAGATGGCATTGTTCTCACATCAAAATTATTTTGGCTTCTATGGTGCACTTTTCACTTTCATTACTCTGGTTCTCTGTCTCCAGGCATTATGAGCTTGATGAGGACTGGAAATCTCTCTTCTTCATATCCATATTCTTGCAGTACTGAGAACAGATGCACATTAAGAACTAAAAGAATAAAGGAATATAAGAATTCTCTTGTAATGTAGAAAGTAGTAAATATATGGGGGTAGGTGAGGAATTTTTATTAAGTTTGGAAGAAGGGGCTTTACAAGAAGGATAATGTCGAAAGCACACTTAATAAAGTAAAACATGGTTTTTCACATACTTATTTTCTAGAATACTTACATTCATTCATTTTTCAATGACCATTTACTATATGCTTACCATGGCAGAAAGATATGTTCCCTTTTACTATGGAGCTCACAATTTACTGGGAACAACTGTTATTGAACTCACTGCAAGTGAGATGAGTGTTTGCACAAAGTCCTTCAGAAGCTTTGGATCTGGGAGTGGGAGCATAATCAGGAAGTCAGGGAAGATCTGTCCTGCCAATGATATCCAAGGAAATTCAAGAAGTATTTTGCTCCCATATATGCTGGATACTTCTCTAAGTCATGGCATTATAATAATATATTAGTGAGCTAGATTACTCACACCAATCCTCCACTGAAAGTAGCTAAAAGCTCTGGGCAAAATATTTTTAGATCTTATTAGCATTAAGGAGTTCCTGTGTGGTGCAAGCAGTTAACATGTTTTGAGGTTGGACTCCACCCAGAGGTACCTCAAAAGAAAGGCCTGGCAATCTACTTCTGAAAAAACAGCCAATGATTTTTCTATGGAGCACAGTTCTACTCTGACACATATGGGGTCACTCAGAGTTGGAATCAACTCGACAGTAACTGGTGGTGGTACTAGCATTAAACAGCTAAATTAAATGCGAGACCAAAATGGAAGAGAAAGTGAAGACTCAGAGAGCTAAATTGTATAATAGAACAGGACTGCTACATTTGCCTTGAGGCCATTTGCTAAAGCAAACTGGGCTTCACTTTTCAAGGAATTAAATACCATGTTTGTTTCCAATAAGCTGGGACCCAAAAGTTACACTCTTTGGCTAAGGATGAGCCACAAAGAAAGAAGCCAGCCTCTTGGAAGCAATGTAAGAAAGATTGCTCTGACACTGAGCCAAGCACGAAGAAATGAGAGGGCAAGCAAACTAAACAAAACAAAATCCTGTCCCTGAGAAATTGTGGCTACTGATAGGGTCTCATAAGCATTTACAACTCAGATTGGTAATGCTTAGGTGGTCAAAAAATCATTAACCAACCTGGTAGTTCTACCAGGCACCTGGCAGCAAAAACATAAATCCATTCTGGAGGAAGGTACCTTCATCTCAGGACACAGCCAAAATAACCAAACACACAAGGAAACAAGACAACGAGGTTTTGACATAGAGATAAATAAATAGAGCAAGGGAATAAAAATAATTCCAGATAAGATAGAAGTAGTACTGCAGATCTGTGTGGCAAGATTGGACTTTTCAAAAAATTATTTGGAGTAACTAGCCATCTATATGGGAAAAAAAACATAAGTAAAATTTGAACTCCCATATAAAAAGTTATGATTATGGATTAATGGTGTAAACATAATTAAAAGGCAAAACTGCAATTTTTAGCAGTTAATATAGGAGATTGTTTTTATAACCTCAACATAAATGACTATCTTAAATAAGATTCAGAAACCACTAATTATGAAGGAAAAGATTATATATTTGACCACATTTAAACTAAGAACTTATCAAAATTCACCACAGTGAGGGTGAAAAGACAAGAATAGATATTTGTAACATAATAACAAATACTGGATTTGTATCCAAAATATATATGGAACTCTTACAAAGTTCTTAGGTAAGAAATAAGGTAAACAGTTCAATAAGGAAAAAAAAAATATATGGGCATTTTATGAAACAAAATCCAAATGGCCAGTGACATATGAAAAATTACTAAATCTCATTAGTATTCAGGGAAATTGACATTAGAATGTCAATGAATATCATTATATACATGCTCAGCTACTCCTCATCTCCTTGGAGGCAAGGAAAACTAGGCAGATGCCTCCCACCCACCTGACACACATTGCCCCCTTCATCCACCCACCTCTAGGGATCTAAGCATATTTGCAGATGAGCCACCATGTTCAAATGTCACTGCAGGAGTCTCCCATGTTAGTCTCCAGGCTTTTGTTCAGCCTACAGGGGAACATACTCCATAAAAACTCTCTTTCCTCAAAGTCCAAATCTCATTTCTCTGCTTGTGTTGAAAACTGTTGAGCGCAGGAAGGTGGATGGGTTAGAGTTAGAACTGGGAGTGGAGTGAAGGAAAGACACATCAGACCTCTATCAGCCCAGATTCCCAGCCGCATTTTAAAAAACTGCTTCAGTAATTGCACTCAGTTATTTGTGAAGCGTTGCTAAGGCATTATGAGCTGAAGCAACACACCCATCTGTTTTATGTACTTCTTTTTAATATCTTCAAATTGGTCCTTAATGATTTAAGATGTCTCTCTCTTGTACTTATATTCTTCTTGGTTTTATTTTCTCAAATCTCAGAAAAATGCTTGTGTAACTGCCTGGTCTGTTCATGAATCATCACTCTGCTTGATTTTCTGGGCATGGTTTTATAGCCACGTAATGAGAGGGTGGATTGCAAAGTAACCAGTCTGATAATGTTGTTGTTGTTAAGTGCCGTCGAGTCGTTTCCGACTCATAGCGACCCCATGCACAGCAGAACGAAACACTGCCCGATCCCGCACCAGCC